CCAAAGCATTCTGCCTTTTAATGATGTGTTTCTGATCTAATATATATAATTCTCTTACGTGGCTCCCAAATTTTGGCTGAAGTACTTTGTACAACTAAATAAGATTCTTTTCACAACAGTTAAATATTTACTTTATTTTCTTCATTCATAGAGAAAACAGTCGGCAAAGAATTCTGTTAGGTTAAAAAACATTTCGCTAAAAAAATAACGAATTCTAAAAGAAATAAAAATAAACAACTTAAAAAATAAAAATGCTGTTGCCAGCCATAGAATTTTTTGAAAGTTAACTTAGCAACATAAATCAAAATGACATAGAAGCGCAACTAGATCAAAATTATGATACCTGAGCGCTTGACGTAACAAATCCTTCAATTCTAAAAGTGTTGTATCGCCAAATGCCCAAATTAACAATTGTGTTCTTAAAGAAATTCTATAAAAAGTTTTAAATAAACAACCTACTTCTACAACTGCTTCTTGAAGAACTTGGCTCATAGATTAAAAATATTGTTTTAATTTTACAGTACTAACTTTACTTCTACTTTCATTATTGCTATGACCCTCTTTCATTACATTTTACAACTTCATGCTAAATTTGAGGACTTTAAGTTGTTTTGTGGTTGAATACTGACATTTAGAAGTGTGTACATAAAAAAAAATAATATTTAGAGGTTGAGAGTTGCCTCAGAAAAATTTGAATTGTTAGCAATGACTTAAATAAAAAATTTTATTTTAACTGACAAATACTATATAATAATTTCAAATTTTTCTATGACTGTACTCACTTTCTTACTCTTTTCTTTGCTTTTTATACATATTATATTTTCGTGACAAAATAAAACATATAGTTGTTCTGCTTCTGAACACTGATGAAAACACAAAATGATGGGCTTCATCAACCATCAATATACATTTATTTTACAAATTCCATATTATTAAGGTGGTGCCCTTCAGAGAATTAAAAATACAGAACTATCTTCATCAAAGCCGATGCTTTACATCCGGCGGCAGACTACTATTTCATATTGTTTTACAACACATGACTTTAACACACTGGTGGGAAAGACTTTAAAACAAAACTTACAACAGTTACCTTTCTCAACATTTGAAATTTAGAATAGTATGATTAAGAAAAATATGTGAACTGTTTGCAATTTCAAAATAATATTGAAATATACAGGTTTAGAATTTTCTACAGTGAAAAGTTTTCGGAACTTCAGTATTCAAAAAAGTATACAAAAACTAGACGTTAAGAACGTATCCAATGAGCGAGCAAAGCGAGCATTGGATTGCGAAGCAATCCGAAATGAACTGCGAAAGCAGTTCCGGGGGTTGGTGAGCGCCGACGAGCAGGGGGCGTAGCCTCCTAGTTAAATTAAATAAAATAGTTAAATAAAATTTTAAAAAAGTATTAAAAAATACCTAAAATAAGCCCGACTGAAAATAAAGTACCATCAATTGGTTTCAAAAGTTCAACTTTCATTATAAATTCTGAAATTGTGTAACAAAATATTTGCTTCATTAATCAATTTTCTATCATTCTATTCAACTTTCTTTCATCAAGTAAGTGCCTCATGTATATATATATATATATATATCTCTACTATGCACNATATATATATATTATTAGGAGATTATCCAGATATATTATCAAGAGATTATTTTAAAAATTAAAATTTTAGCTAAATACATGCTTCTAATAATCAAAATTTTTGATGATAAGAGACAACGAAAAGAAAATATTGCTGCCAAAGAAAATATTGCTACAAAAAAAAGAAAATATTGCTCAAATAAACTTTGTAAAAATAAATTTCCTGTGATTCATTATATTATTTAAAACTTAATTAAATTTCCATGAATTTAAAAGTCCATAATCGGTATTTTTTCAGGCATGCATTGAGTATTGTAAATTAAGAAAACTTAAATCGAATGACATGTGCATTGATGAGTTTACCTGGTACGCTCCTCATCAAGAAATGCTATGTAGTTTTGGTAAGTCAAGTTAGTATTTACATTTCACACTTAGATTGTATAGAGATATTAATAAGTCTTTGTAATTTGCATTCTGAAGGAACACTGTAAAAATCCCAAATAAAATTACGGTAAAAAGAACCTGGCCTGAAGGTTATTTTTAATGGTAAAATTCCTTTTTATCAAAACATGTGTTGAGAAACAAAAAATGTGATAAACCATAATTCTTACAGTAATAAGTACTGTGAAAATTACAGCATAATTCATTTATTTGGAAACTATATGGATAAATACGGACAGCTACCAAAAACAACATGTACCGAAATTAATTATCTCTAAAAAAATGTACTTTTTGCCAACTTTAAATGACTTTCAAGGTTAGAAGGCATGGAGAAAAAAACAATTACAATCCAAGGCGTAACATCTAATCGTCCGAAATAAAACACCACCCCTAGACATTTTTTTCTGTTGGAGTATATGAGAAAAAATGTTGCTGTATATGAGAGTAGACGCTAACAGAATATCAATTAATAGACGACATGTCTACGACATTAATTTCAACCTTCTGTAATGAAAAAAAGTAAAATTAGGCCACATTCTTTACATGCTATTTCCGAAGATTTTTAGGATGTTCTCTTTACTGCACTCTTATGTTGCTACCTTTTTGAAGTAAAATATTTTATTTTGTTGAATTTCATTTTTTCAAAACTTATTGAGTAAAGATTATTAAAATATATGCTCGTATGTTACAAGACTTTAAGAGAAGCTATAAGAAAGAATATCTAATACTCTGCGCTTGTTTGCCATACATAAAATTATTTACAATTGAGATAAACATAAGTAGCTCAAAAAAAAGGAGAATTCTGACTTCAAATAACTTTTAATATTTCTGAAAGTGCCTGGATCAGCACTTTGCATACTGTTTAAAAATGTTTACCGTCAAATAATGTAAAAATAAACTTTTCTGTCTCTTTTTTTTAAAATAAAATAATAGGTGATACGTCAGCAACGAATAAAATGATCAAAGACTGTCACCGAGAATGCCAACCAGCGTGCCTGTAAGTTTCATATTTTATAATCAACGTATTTATTTGCCACTACTTATGTAGATATTATGTCTTTTCAAGTTATTTATCATGCATTTATTCAAGACAGTTATATATGAAGTTTCCTTCAGATCAACGAAGAGTAACGATTTGATTGATGGAATTTGATATTCCAATTATATACATTATATGGGCCCTGAGGATTAAACTAGGCTAGAATATGCATATTTCTTATTTCGAACATCAGAGAGAAGGGCTCTGTAAAACAACAAAAATTCAGATAGTATCGATGAAACTTACTTTAATTATAGCATACGTTAAATGCACATTCTATCTCCTTCCAATGAGATGAACCGGCTTGGAATCTCATCTACGACTTGTCGATTCAAAATTCACTCCCGACTCGCACTAACCAGAATGCTGACGAAAAATATCCTCAGAGATGGACGGATCAGGAATTAGAGTCTCCTTGTTGTCAGGCAAACCATGGAAGGGTTTCGTGGTTTTTCTTTTTAATATAACGTAAATGCGGGCTAGTTCCATTAAAAACTCTTCTTCGAAAGCAAATTTCTCCCGATACTTGATCTAGGAGTTCACTTGTCTTCTGAATCGAGTTCAAAATTACAAAGCTACGGAGTTCAACATTGGTGTCTTGAACTCATCATTGCTTCGGCTCAAAATTGGAACGGCTGTTACAAAAAACATTATTCCGAGCTTCATGATGGCTCAGGGGATAGAGTGTTCTCTTTCCAATGTGGTGAACCGAATTCGAATCCCAGTGATGGCTGATCAATATGAATTCCGCATCCGGCTTGCGCCGACCACAGTGCTGACGTAAAATATCCGTAAAAATAAATAAATAACAAGCGTTAACCTCGCAGACCTTAATACCGGTTTAAAATATCCTAAGTGTAGACAGAGTGAGAGTTAGAGCGACGGCATTGTACTAGCACGACAGCAGGAACGCACTAAGAAAGAGTATGTGTGGTCAAAACTACCAAATAATGGAAAATTTAATTTGTTTCATGCACTATGAGAGCACCATAAGATACATAATTTTAGTGTCTTGTCTAAATAAAATGTTTCCAGGCCGTAAAAAATTTTAAAAAATCTATAGAAACTTAACTGATAAATATTAAGGGAATTGAGTCAGACTACAAACATTAAACCCTGTTTGATTGCCGTCGGAAGCAAAAAGCCACTATAAAAAATAAACTCTAAATGCCATCAGGCATTCTAACTGGTTTTTACATACTATTTTCCATCTTCTTTATTTGTGTTTTAACATAATTTAGTAATTTTTTTTTGTTCTTTTAATAAAAATCCTACTAAGTACGCTTTCTCTTACCTCATTTTTTTAAAAAAAAGTTATGACTATTCATTGAAATCGGTTATTACAAATCATCCTGATTAAATTGATCAAATACTTAAGACCCTGATTAAAACAAATACATTTTAAAAATCAGCATAAAAAGTTTCAACTATCTCTAGTTAAAACCAGTCACCACAAATCCATACATTTACTGATCTGAATAATTAAGTCCAAAGCGTAAAACTACTGTTATTGATGAAACTCTCCGTATTTGTGGATTTCCTAATGGAAAAGACAATATTTTAAATTTTTTATGTCATTGCTGTTTTTTTTTTTATCATTTTGTTTATTCTAATAAAACTGTATACATTTTTTAAAGGGAACAGAAATATGAAGCTCAATATGAGGAAGTTGAATTTGGAAGCCGTTTGGTAACTGAAATTTTAATCACATTTTGCTTAAACATAAATTTACGAATTAGTATACTTATAGGATTATAGGGTTTTATTATAGGATTATAGGACTTATAGAATTTCAGTTTCTACTTACCCGTAGGAGCTTACTCCACGCATTTTGATGGAGAACTGAAAGCCATTCAGGTGGCCCTTCAACAACTATCTTTGATACAGAACTCTTTCAAGAAAGCAGTTATCCTTTCAGATTTAACTTCAGCAATGCAGGCCATCTCCTCTTATCAAGAGTGTAAGAGCATGTTAGTCAAGCAGTGCCAGGAAGTCATAAAAGAACTTTCCCACAAGATATTCTTTCAATGGGTACCCTCACACTGCGGTATTTATGGAAAAGAGATGGCAGATATGCTTGCCAAAAGAGGAGTTGCGGTTCTACACAAGCCCAAAACTGAAGCAAGCCTCCATTCCATTAAACTGCTGACATCACTCATATATCAAAAGACTTTTAGTAATTTTGCCACTCGGGCTTGCGATGGCAAGCCTTGGAGTGTTCTTTTAACAAATTCAGCTTTTATTCCTGACCACCCGCGATCAGTTGCAGTTGCAGCTTTTAGACTATTAGCGGGGCATGACTGCTTGCAGAATCGTTTATTTCGCATTGGACTAGCCGATTCACTTTGTGTGTTACATGTGATAGTGAACGGCCAATGACGGCAGAACATTTGGACGAGTGCGAAGCACTGACAGATTTTTCTTGTATAGTTTTTTCAACGCTATTGGCAAGGAAGAAGTTTAGTGGCCTAACGGCTAATGTAACTAGCATTTGACAAATAAATAAAATTAAGAAAATATATACTTGTAGATATCCTTATAATAGCTCTTACTTTGGTATTCTTATAATATATTCTAATATTATAAGAATACCTTGTTATTAATACAAGTATACAATTTTAAATATAATAGTACTTATTTTAGTTTTATTCTTAAGCCGGCCAGGAACGGCGGTGGTTGTCTCTGACTGCGAAGCCAATGGCGGCGGATCTGAATCCCGCTCAGAGCATTCCATTTCTCTGTGTGATGTCCTTTGTTGGGTGGTGTGTGTATGTAGTCCAGCCTATGAATTGGGTATCTGTGGCAGAGTGGCCGGGTAATACTGCTCGCCTCCGTGACTTTGGTTCACAAGTGCCCACCGGGTAACGATAAATGAGATTCACTTCCGGTATCTTCTAAGTCGAAGAATGATAGTTCATTACCCACCGTTTTGAAGGGGAAAAAAAGTTTTATTCTTACGTCATATATCATTTCCGGAAGAGAAACTACTGTTTCGATATAATGTGCAAGAAATTTTTAAAAAATTGCTCGTGATATTAAGATTTCTTTCGAAAAGATATTTTAAGTGGTTTAGAAAAAATTTAGGTAGAAAAATATAAATAAAATAGTTTATTTTTATAATACACTCTATAACAAAAAAATCGACGCACCAAGAAGGAGTTGTCCGATTAAAACGAAAATTGGTGGATAGGAAGACAATGTTCAGAATAGTAAATGATTAAAATTTCCGAACAAATGAATAATTTATTGCAAAGTTACAGTAGCAAGTTCAATAAAGTGTTGACCCGCCTCTAGCCTGGATACAAGCTGCCACACGGAGTGGCATAGACTGATAAAGCTCCCGGATGGTCTCTTGCGATATTTCTTGCCAAATTCGATCCAATTGTCGAACGAGGCCATCAACATTCCGTGCCATATGTAATCGCTTTCCCATCATATCTCAGACATGCTCGATGAGAGAGAGATCTGGTGATCTGGCAGGCCAAGGAAGAGTTTGACAAGCTTGCAGACAGTTCATAGCAACACGAGCCGCATGTGGTCTGGCATTGAAAAACCAGCCCAGGGGGCTGCAAAAGGAATGGTAGCAAAACAGGTCTTAGGATGTCGTCGACGTACCGCTGTGCAGTAAGTGTGCCTCTAATGACGACCAAAGGGATCCGGCTGTCAAAGGAAATGGCACCCCAGACCATAATGCTTTGTTGAGGGCCGGTGTGACGTGCAATAGTGAAGGCAGGATCCCCCTCTGCCCTGTGCGTCTCCAAACACGTCTTCGATGATCGTCAGGATACAGTTGGAAGCGGGATTCGTCGCTAAAGACTATGCATCCCCAGTCGACATCATTCCAGCCTGATCGAGCGTCGATTTTGCGCGTCTTAGTGCGTTCTTGGTAAGTCGATTTTTTTGTTATAGGATGTATCTATGTGTCATTATAAAAATTGGGAATCAAAAAATAGAAAAATAACTATTTTATAAATCTGAAATTTTAATACTAAAACTGTTGCATAAGAGACCTACGAGCTGGTAACTGAGAGAGAAACCGATAATTGACTGCTTTCACCTAATACGGCTAAACAACTATAATTTTATCTCCCCAACTAGGCCAACATAATGAAGCCATTTAGTTCCTTGCAGCTGGATATATATTATAGCGAAGAGGGCTAATATGTCAATTTAGCGACCGTCGAAACGAGATTTCAAGTCCTAGCGTTGTCACCACAGTATTTTCTTCCATTTCTTACGGCAGATGAAGAGTTCACAGTGTTCAACATTCCCTAATTTGTGGCCCTGGATTATTGGAATCCGATACTTTAGACAAATCTATTAGAATCCTCGTTTGCGCAAAAATGGCAGCATCATACAGCTGCTGGACTTTCTCCAATTTCCAATTAAATTTCTATTTTATGGTTTTGAAACCATGACGGTTGTAAATTTTTAAAACACCATAGAGTTTTATGTTCATGTTTTTTTCATTCATGCTAGTTGTAAGCGGTTTTACAACCGTAAAGCTAAAAAAAATACTTTTTACCGTAAAATTTACGCTTAATTGGGTAGACAGACTGATGCTGGTTATTTTACCATAATTTCGGAATGAAAATTCTAACAGTGAAACAATAATTGAAAAATCCCAATATTTTAAAACTTGAAAATAAACATAACTGTAGATTTATTAATTATTTTAGAATTTATAACAGATATGGCTTGATAAATTTTTTAAAAAAGTGTGTGAAAATAATTAAATATGTGTATCATGATTGGCAGAAACGTTTCTCGCTTTCTATTTTATAACTTGTCACAGTTTCAGTCATAATGCATTTACCATCAGTTATTACAACCAATGTTTAACTTTATTTTCTTTGCTTATTTTGTTTCAGTGTCGTAAACATGATGAGCCTTGTAAGTAAGTAAAAAAGTTTACGTATTTATTTCTAACTTTCTGTTTTTATAAGATATCTTAAATAAACGCAATGTTATAAACACAAGAGATTATTAGATATAAAGTTTTGGAGAATTTTCAGCATTGCGGGAATAATTCAAAACAGGTTTTTCTTTATATAAAATGGTAGGAGTCATATTATCAGAAAAAAACTCATCATGTCTAAATATACATGTTTAAATTCATTAATTATTTTCCGAGCTAAGTAAACAAAGTCGGTCAAGAAAAGTTAAATCGCCGTACATGAAATATGATATTTTGGTCAATTTGAAAATATGTTTAATGTCTTCTTTCAATGTATCTATCACAAATACTTTATTTTGCATTTTTTATTATATTTCAAGTAATTTTAAAATAGAATGCAAAGTTTTAATATTCATTTAAAACCAGTTATTTTTAAAATAAATTTTAAATAAATGCGCACGTTTTTGAAAATACATATATTTGTCTATTAATGTTTATTGAAAATTAAAAGGTAACGCAACTAATAAGAGTATTAATTTTAATAGACTTATAACAGCTTATAAGACTATCACAATTAATCGTATCTGATGTACTAATAAGACTATAAGTCTATAATTTAATGGTCGAAAGACTTATTTTTTGGAACAATAACAGTGGACACCATCTGTGTTGATGTGCAACACTTTTAATAATGGTCTATTAAGTAAATCTTTAAAAAGAAAAAGAAAATACATTGGTGGACAAAACTAAGAGATGGAAAGCATTTTAGCACATGCAAGATACCCGCACACCGCTCCATGTGTTTGACAATAATGGTCTGTGAATGCCCAGAGATACAGGCAGAAGGTCCTAGAGCCCTATGTGCGTCTTTTCAGGGACTCTGTTGGGCATGAGTTCATTTTTATGGACGATAATGCATGACCACATAGGGCTCTCATGGTTGATGAGTATCTGGAAAGCGAGGATATTCAACGAATGGATTGGCCAGCCAAATCCCCTGGCCTGAATCCTATTGAACATGTTTGGGATGCTCTTGGAAGAGCTATTGCGATGCGCCAACCTCCCCCCAGAACCATTCTGGAGTTAAAAATTTCTCTGGTGGAAGAATGGGAGGGTTTTCCACAAGTCCTCATTAACTCCCTTATTAACAGCATGCATACTCGTTGTGCATGCTGTATGTCTGTCAGGGGTGACCATACACCATACTAGAGGCAACACACACTGTACAAGCCTCACTTTTATTGTCATCTCTTATCCTTAAATTCAGACTACATTGGATTTATTGGCAACAGGTCTTGCCAGTGAATGGCACTTTCATTTTTGTTTTGCATACCTTATTATCCTGGAATAAGCTATACCCACACTAAATTTCATTTATTTATATTCAGTATTTTTTTAGACATTTGGGAAAATGTCCTCCATCTCTTAATTTTGTCTACCAGTATATGTGTGCCTGTTCTGCATGCATCAAGTATCTGATCTACTCTGGCAGTTTTTGGGTTTCGACTAGCTAGACCGTAGTAATTATTGATTGAAAAAATACAATTAAGCAGAATTTGAATATCTGGGTGCAACTTTTTAAAATTCTGTGATCTGCTGCGCATGCAGCGGATTATAGTGAATTGAACTTGAGACATATAGTCGATAAGTCATGGCGCAATGCAAGAGGTTCAATTTAAATTAAATCACGTCATGGTGAGATTTTACGAGATTTCGTATTTGATTAGATCATTGAAAACAGCGCCACCGAGTGGCCAATAATATTTGCTACTGAATGATCGATGTGGTTTACAATAATATATGTGTAAAGGAATAAAATTTAAATTGTTTTTGAAAAAATATATAAATACATGTACAAATAAATGCAATGTTAGATATTTTATCGTTTAATAATAAATGAACGATTGTTAAACAAGTAAATCAGTTTCTTTAGCATGTTTGTAAAATTCCAAATGCTAGAATGACATTAAACTAACCTCATAGAACAGTACCCAAGGAACATCCAGTAAAAAAGCATTATGGTGCTCTTTTTTTTAATTCACGGAAAAGAATTTTAAATTAAGTTTATTAGTTGGATATGTGCAGTTAAGATTTACACCGCCAGCGAGAAAATCTGATGTAGTTCAGAAGGTTTTTCAAAAGGAGACGAGTTGTCCATTAAAATTATATACCCATGGTAGTGGCTTTAAAATGTGAGTGTTCAAACATAAATTTAAATATACTTTACTTATTACCATATACTTTATGTACTTTACTTATCTTTAATGCATTGCTTAAAAGTATCTCATGCAAGACTTAGAAATAATGAACTAAATTTGGGCAAATTGAATTGAAATTCAATTCCACATTTAAATTTAGCAAGCCATTCAATAATAAACTTCCCTGGTGCAGAGATATCACAATGCTTGTCAAGCCATTCTTGTCTTTCATAGTATTTTTCTCATAAAAAACAATGTTTAATCAACTCGCAAAATTCTTTTTT